ACGTTACCCCAAGACCCAGCGTCAGTCTCCCGGCTGTTAGCAGTCCGCTGAGGCACAAGGCTGAGGAGGCCTGCTCCAGGCCCAGATCGCATGTGTGATCTGTCGGAACCGACCCCAGGTGATGAGAAGCCTGGGCCACGCAGGGGTCACTGCCCTGCCCACAGCAGACCATGTGCCAACATGCATCTCCGTGATCTGGAGGGGCCTTCATTCCAGACTCAGGAACAAACCCTGGGCCATCTACAGTCCTTTCCCATGACCACCATTCAAAGACCCTACACAGAACTTCCCTCCTTTGCCTCTGGCTGGCACTGTCACAGTGGACAATCACGGCTTAGGCATCACTTTCAGTTTGGATCTTTGTTATCATTCACTATCATGATGCCTGGTGGCTTGACCAAAATTATGATAACTGAAGAAAAGAGTTAAGGAGATTTCAGGGAAAACAGAGGTGTAGAAAAAGCTTTGAGAAGGCATCAGAATGGAAGGGGAAACCACACCCCAGAAGGGGGACACCCAAATTCTTTGAAGCCCACCTGAGCAGATGACACCAGCATCCTCATAGTGTCTACAGTTGTGGCTGTTCCAGCCCCTGTGGGGGCAGCTCCACAGGGAGGTCTCATACCCGTTGCAGCCCAGGTCATCCAGGACAATCGGCCCTGAGCCCTGGCCAAATCGGGCACTTCCTGGGGCCGACGTGGCCCAACCACAGCCCAGCTGCCTGCACACTACATTGGCATCGTTAATGTCCCAGCTGTCGTCACACACGGTGCCCCAGGAGCCTTGATACAGGATCTCCACCCGGCCCTGACACCTGGCACCTCCGTTCACCAGCCTCAGGGCCAAACCAGAATCAGATCCTGGAAAGAGACAGGAAAATTCAGTCTCTTTTGTGTCTCCTGAGGAAGTGGTCCTGAGGTCTGAGTTTTAGAATTCTCTTGGGGAAAGACTTCTGGGTTCTGGTTAATGTTCTTCAGCAAAAGGATCTGATCCAAGCCTGTTCATCCGCTTCTATACCCAAGAAGCTATTTACAGAAACTTTGAGTGTGGGCAGACCTACAGATGATCTCTAACAGTCCCTGCCTGTGCCAGTCATGGAGGGTGGAGATCTGCCAGCCACACCGCTGCAGAGATCCTCATTACAACAGGTCCCAGTGACCAGCATCTGTTGTTTCTATGTTAGGGCGATAAGCTCCAAGTCTAGTTGACCACGTTATCCCCAAACCCAGCATCAGGCTCTGGGCTATTATTGGTCCACTGAGGCAGCAAGACTGAGGAGTCCAGCTCCAACCCAGATCCCTTGTGTGGTCTGTCAGAACTGACCCCAGCTGATGACAAGGCTGTGACTGGCAGCCCACATAGGGGCCACTGCCCTGCACACAGCAAACCTGGTGCCCACGTGCATCTCTATGCTCTGGAGGGGCCTTCATTCCAGACTCAGGAACCAAATCCTGGGCCATCTGGAGTCCTAGCCCATGACCTTCATTCTGAGATCCCCTATAGAACTTTCCTCATTTGCCTCTGGCTGGCACTGTCACAGTGGAGAATCAAGGCTTAATTGGCACTGGGCACTGAACGTGGGCCATAGGACCCTTGCAGACCCAGGACACCAAGTTCCACCTTGGAGGTCCTTGGAGATGCCTCTGCAGGTTGACTCCTTCCCAATCTCAGAGTCAAGGTCCATGGAAGAGACACCCGGTCAGCCCTTGTTCAGAGGCAGCCACCCTTGAGAGCTGTGCACCCCCATCCTTACACCTTCCACACATCTTCGGGATCAGAGATGATACTGTGGGTGACGTAGGGTGATGAGCCCACAGCGATCCCAGGAGACAAGCATGTCCTTCTGCTGCCCGGGCGTCCCCTGCCCAGCACCCCCTGTCCCCTCCTTCCTCTGACCCCTGTCCCCGCTCCTTAGCCGGTTTTTCTCCTCTCTCGGGACCTTCCCTACCGCTGCTCTCCCAAGCACTGTCTTTGCCCTCTTCTCTTCCCCACCTGCAGGACCTCGTGTGCTCCGAGAACTTCCCGGAAAGAGGACCCCCGAGTCCACCTCTCCAGTCCTGATCAGCCCTTCCCACCCCAGCCCCAGGCTCTAGACACACACTGCCAGTGGCCCTCCTGGATCCCACCTCCTCATCCCACACGGAACCCAGTCTCTTCCCTTCATTGGATCCACAGTGTTACCACGCTCCGCCCCCGTGTAGGAAA